AACCGGATCCTCGCCATTCCTACACGGATTGCTTCGGCACGACACGCACACGCAAAAAAAATTTCAGTTGGTGCAACCAAATAGGAACCAACTGAAAATTAGGTGGTCAAAAACGATATCTCTATTATGAAAATTAATATTTCTGTTGTCATAACCGAAAATATTAGTCTGAACATTCAACGATATTAGAACTCGGTTGAGGTAACTGAGAACAATTGTCTATACAGAAGTCTCTATAAAGGAATTTGTTTGTTTCTACAGCCGAGTTGTCGTCTGATCCCTGAGCAACCGAAAATTCGGTTGCACCAACAGAATTGTTTCTTCCGTGCACTCAAGCACATAAACCACGCAAAGAGACGCGCAAAGGACTCCCTTCTTAAATATTGATATTTCGAAAACACGAGTCTCCGTCTTTACGTGGTTACCCGTTCTAGCCTAACCGCGAGAATAAATTGCCCGCCGTCAGGCACGTCGCGCACGATCATGACTGAGCGGCCCGTTTGTGTAAACTTTATACGACTCTTGCCGGAATCCATTATAAAAGATGCATTTTCCCGATTGCGCTTCATTGCATATGCGCCGAGGGTAACGCGCGAGGCGCGCACGACAGAGGCGCTATTAACACACGGGCGGCAGTAACATTAGCAGTCCGCGAAACGGTGCGTGACTACTGCTACGCGCCGCTATTTCGAGCCGGGAGCTAAAGTTCAACACGACGGATAGAAGTTCGACAGTGAAACAACGTGCGCGCGCGATACGAACACCGTCGCAGAGTGCGCGCGTGTTACTTGCGAATGCACAGCAACATAAACTGTTATGGTCCGTAATCCGTGTTCTGAGAAAAAATCCGCCCATCGATCTCCCACGCAAAACATAAGAAAGAGAGAGAGAGAGAGAGAGAGAGGGAGGGAGGGAAAGAGAAAGAGAGAGACAGAAAGGAGAGACAGGTAGATTTATTACGCGTTCTAGGAAAGCTCTTTTCAAGCACAATTAAGTTGCAGTGAACAAAAGGCAAGGTAATTCTTATACAAACCCAAATTGACTTTCATGACCATCACGACGTGAAATTTCCGTGATGGAAACTTTGCAATTATATATAGATAAACTTGGGGGAGACGAGGTTTAGATAGTCACAGGAGTATATTGCTTTTTTTTAAATATTTATCTTAAGAAGAATACAGTAAATATAAGATCGCGGAAGAGTTATAGATACTTTTCCCTAAGTTACGTTAAAATCAGACTAATAATACAGTTAAAAAATAGAAAAAAACCGATTTAATAGTAAAGTAAATCTCCCAGCCTCTCGAAATTTTGGATTAATATTTTTCATCGTAAGTAAATGAAGTTAAGCGACATATCATTGACTAGAATAAACCGAGGAATAGATTGACATGTTGCAATAGTTGACTGTCTATTTACTTCGTATGTGCTACTTACACGTTAAAAACTGAAATGCGCAATTAGAAAATTTGATATGCTTCTAGCTAAATTAATTATGTTTCTTGAAAGATTTATTCGACCTGGAGCTAAGACTCACATATTAACCTTTATACTGCCGGGAAAGTCACAAAAGTGGCTTTATAACTACAAAAGTGATTTTCCTGGCAGTCTAAAGGTTAATAGTCACTATTTGAAGCTTGCCTCATGTGAAGTACTCAGACATGAATTTAAATTAGATTTGAGTTTTTGTTCGAATCTCATAATATATGCGACATTGCATTTGTAACCATGATTCAGTTGAAAAAGTCACATCTAATTCTAAATTCAAATCGGAATATTTCATCTGAGGCAGGACCCTAGAATATGCTCTTCACCCTAATGTAACTATATGACCTAACCTGCAGTAACATGACCGACTTTCGGCCTATGCGCAGATAACTACTACTGCGCATGCTCGAGAATCCGAGTATAATCCTACAATGGATCTAACGTTATGAGCGCGACTTTGGGATATTGGCAAATTAATTTCAAGATTCTGGGGATGCTACTGAGGGAGTAGAGTGACGCTAACATACCTTGTCATGAAGGCGATGACGCAAGGCGAAATGCACACTTCTTTTCAAAATAGAACTCTCGCAACTGCGAAAATTGCTTTAAAAGACTGTGAAAAATTACCCTAGAATGTGCTCTACACGCTCACACTATATGACCTAACCTGCAGTAACATGACCGACTTTCGGTCCATGCACAGATAGTACTACTGCGCATGCGCGAGAATCCGAATATATTGCTACGATGGATCTAACGTTATGGGCGCGACTTTGAGATATTGGCAAATTATTTTCAAGATTCTGTGTGTGTGTTACTGAGGGAGTAGAGTGACATTAAGGTACATTGTCATCCAAGAGACGATGCAGAGCGAAATCGTACAATTCACGTCGTTTCCGAAAATACACCTTTGCAAACGCGAGAATTTCTTTAAGCATCTCTAAAAAATTATCTCAGGCTTAGCTAACTTGATTTAATAAATTAGCGAAAACTCAAAACATTTCGGCTCGAATCTCGGCTTAATAATTTAGCGGAAATACAAAACACATCGGTTCGAATCGCGGCTTAATAATTTAGCGAAAGTACAAAACTTCCGTTGAATCTTTGCTTAGTAATTTAGCGGAGCCTCAAAACTTCGGTTCAAATCTCAGCTTAATGGTTTAGCGAAATCTCAAAACACTTGGGTCCGAATCTCGACTTAATAATTTATTGGGAAATCGAAATATTTCAATTTGAGCCTCGACTTAATTTAATTTGTTGTTTTTAATTTGTCGAAATTTAATTTGTCGTCTTGTCAACAACAAACGCGTATGCATAAGAATATATCTCCGAAGAGATATTATATCGTATAAAATACGACATAAAAAAATACGACATAAAATACGACATAAAATATGATATATTGAAATATAGCAATTTAGTGTATCATCAAGAATCAATCCGACGAAAAGGAAGCCTGCCAAGTCGAAATTTCAATTGGCCGTTGTTATGCAAGAATAATCCAATTAAAAAAATTATAATCTTTTATCAATAGATACTCCATTCACATTTTTTTAAACAAAAAAAAATTCAATAGATGCTTGAAATTAATTAAGAAACACTTTTTATTTTTTACCAGTCGCGTCTTTTTGCACATTTTTCTAAGGATTGAGCTAGACAGTATACTTAAAGAAATGGAAATGCTTGACTCGTTGAACTATTTCGAATCTCACAGCTAAATTCTTTGGTTGGATCATTCTTACGTAATTCCGGCGAATTGCAAATCCCAATTCTTACTTTACTTCCCATCGGACCCAATGCGATTTACGTCTACGTGCATGCAATCTACATAAAGTGATGCTTTGTGCCTACTATATGAGCATCTAAATTGAGCGCTCACCATTGCGCGTCGTCCCACGGTGTCCAGAATCCTTCAGCCATCTAGTCGTATCTAACACTGCAATGGTCCTCGCGTCCCACGTCGCCTGTAATTTACTCTCGACCGCGGTAATCTAACGGAGATTTCACGAAAAATCCCGTCTCTCTTAAGGGATACACTCCGAATTGCGAATTGCTTATGAAATATCGCGATCTGCGTCTTCTAGGAAATGTCGACCTTTCGGATAAACGACTAGTATGTACGAATTGTTAAATATGAATTCAACAACGGCCCGATCGAGTTGTGTATCATTTTGATACACGCGCGACGCGAATCGCTTATAAAGAAAACGGAATCCGCGAGCGAAGGGAACACGCGACGCGAATCGAAGACCGATCTCGCGAAATCTTTCGACACGTGAGCGAAGTAATTTGCGCGAGATTCTCACGTATGATACGGAATATCTCTAATGTAACGTTTCGATGGAGCAGCGTAGTAGGTTGCAATACAGCTTCGCAATACTTTTGCGAAGACACTTCCGCAATATTTTTGCGGATAATAGTTCCGCAATACTTTTGCGAAGACAATTCCGCAAAACTTTGGCGGATAACAACTCCGCAATATTTCTGCGAAGCGATTCTTCCGCAAGTACGATCCGATGAAATTCGCAAACCTATCAAATTAATAATCGCGTACGCGAACGTGAATGGAAAATCAAAAACCATGAAAATTGTGACGATAGAGATAAAGATTTTATTCAAAATTCACTCGAAAAAAATGTTACCGCGTGAGACGTCTGTCTTCATTCAGTGGAACTTGCCACGCGCTGCGTTAGTAAACAAATAACTGCTCGCATGTCTGATTTGTGTATGTACATCACGTTTTACGCGAGGGATCAACGCTCGCTAGCATTGTCTCTATCCCGCGTTAAAAAAACTCTAACTCTAAGTGAAAAATTGAAACCTAAAAATTTTCCGACGATCATGAAATTAATTTTGCGAGCAGTTTATATAATCACATTAGATCGCTTCGCGCAAATACCGCACGATATCGAATTTTACTTAATAACAAAGCACGAATTCTATGAAAATGCAAACGCGATTCAAGCTTACATGAGAGAGAAAATTGAGAAAATTAACGACCGGCGAAAGATCTTTGACGCGAGTGATATGATTGCACATTTTTTGTGGCGCAATCTCTATGGCGCAATGTCTTTGCGTTGGCACACTGCTCGAGACATCTGGAAGATCGCCTTCAATAAAACTAAATAATTTTACAAAATTTTGAATGTTCAGAGCGTATACTCAATACTTTAAGCATCTACCAGATAATGTTGAGGTTTGATAAATAAAAATTTCCTCCGACAAAAATCATCGACCAATCAATAATCTAAATGAATCAATTAATAAATATATGTACAATAAAAGAAAACTACTTAAAAATTGATTTGTCAAATTTATGTAGAATATGCATTATCACTGATATTATTACTTGAAAAAGCGATCTTCCAACTGTTTAGAACAGTGTGATTTTTATTGGACAGCACGTACACATGCTACAGCTATAGCAAAGTAAATCGCATTGATTCATAAGCATGCATCGAAAGCACTACATCGAAAGACTTTTTGTTTATCTATTATCAATATATTTCTTGTTTTGACTCACCAAACAGCCGATCAGGGTAGCCACATTCTGCTTTCGTTTCTGGAACAGAAAAATGCCATTTCGCCGATTAGATTCGTACATTGATGTCGATTTGAGTGAAAAAATGTGAAGGATTAAAAAAAAATAAGCACGATATTTTTTACACTGGAAGAACTTTTCGAAATGCATTCACACTTGGAATATTCTACTTTCTTTTTTCTCGACATTGCAAATAAATCTCTTAATCAGAACAAATCAAAATTTTTCAAGTGGTGATGTTACTCAGAAAAAATTCTTCCCGCGTGTAATTACGATTTAACACGATCTTTGATTCGATTCAAATTATCTCGATTTCGAGAAAGAGAATTATCAATCTTGTCGAATTTCTAATTATGAATGTTAATTAATGAAGCTCACCTTCGAGCTAACCCCGCTCAGCCCGTACCGGATCCTCCGGCGCAGCCGCCCCTAAGTCGTCTGCTTCGCCTCTGCAACAAAAAACAGATTTGATTTAATATTATACACGACAATGGAGGCATTAAAGAACTCGATTTCAAACAAAACAATTTCCAATTTTATCAGATTTATCGGAATTATGAATTCAAATCAGTGAAACTCACCTTCGCGCCAACTCTGCTAGGCCCAAACCGGATCCTCCGGGGCAGCATCCCCTTAGAGTCGAGTGCTCGTCTTTGCAACAAAAAATAGATTTAATTTAGTATTAATTAGTTACACGACGATGGAGGTATCAAAGAACTCGATTGTTAACAAGAAAATTTTCAGTTTTGTCGGATTTCAAATTTTAAGTACAAATTAGTAAAGCTCACCTTCGAGCCGACTCAGAAAGGTTCGAGTCGAATCCTCCGGCGCGGCATCCCCCAGGCATCGCATCCCCTAAAGCCGCGTAACTGCGTCTGCTCTATTGGATCTCTGTGACAGAAATTTAATTTAATAATTTCAATAATTAATTAAATCAATTTATTAATTTCAATAATTAATTAAATCAATTTATTAATTTCAATAATTAATTTAGTATCAATTAGTTACACGCGACAGCAAAACGAGGAAAAGAAATTGTCGTAACGCTCGAGTTCCTTCCCAATGCGCAATAAGAAATAATTAAATCATAACTGAATAAAGAAGTAATAATATCCGATTAATTAATGGATAATGATATTAATATCTGATCGACAACCGTATAATAATATCCGGTAGTATCAATTAATTACACACGACAGCAACACGAGGAAATCGCCATAACGGCACGCTCAAGTTGCTTTCCAATACGCAATAAAAATAATTCAATAACAACCGAATAAAGAAGTAATAATACTCGAATATTAAATGGATGATGATAATATTTGATCGGCATTGAGGAATTCGATCGCAAAGTTTCTCTATTTAATAAATAAAAAAGTAAATGAAACGCGGTAATTACCTGTCGCGGTAAAGCCCGCAACACCTGCTCGCGTGAGGAGTACGCGTCTTAATTTACCATAATTATCGCGTCAATTGTCGTGAAGTCGAAACGCGATATTAAAAACCAGCACGGAATAATCTAGAAAATAACACGGCAGCACTCGATGTGCTCGTCTCAACGGTTAAGAGTGTTGTGACATGACGCTGGAGCACG